CACTTGCAGACACGACCTTTTCCTATAACATTAGGCTGATCTGGCACGCATACTGGGGAGGTAGTTCAGGGTGTGCTTCTGGGTAATGATAGGTATTCTAGAATCAGGTATTGTCATAAAGGTCATGTTAAAGTATATGTAAACCCTCACCTTGTAAAAAAAAAAAACACATTCAGGTCAAAATAGAAAAGGCAAAACATTTGTGTATAGATATAAAAAAACAATATATATATACCCCTTTTTTTAAAGTGATCTCACACCCCCTGTTCTCAGCTGCATAAGAGCTTGGGTATGAGAGAAACAGGAGCACACTGATCTTCCCAATGAAAGGCTGTGCAGAACGGGCGGGGTGTATGTGGCAGGAGCACATTAGCAGAAGTCTGATCATTGGAGGAGAACACACTGAGTTCCCAGCACAGCTAAAGAATTGACCACGCTCTCACACCTAGTATAGTCCATTTTTAATGGGAAAGCAGAGGGACTGACAGGAACACCAGGGATTTCACACAAAAGGAAGCAATACAAAAAGAACAGGATACTTTTTAACATGGTATAGCAGGCACATATCAGGAAGATGAAATGTTTACATATTCTTTAAAGTGGTTGTAAAGGCTGAAGGTGTTTTAACCTTCATGCTTTCTATGCATGAAGGTAAAAAACCTTCTCTGCAGCTTCTCCCCCCCCCCCAATACTCACCTAAGACCCATCTCTATCCAGTAATATGTACTGAAGTCTTGGCTATCCTGGAGATCCCTCTTCTCATTGGCTAAGACAGCAGCAGAAACCATTGGCTCCCACTGCTGTCAATCACAGCCAGTGAGCCAATGAGAAAAGAGGGGGCGGGGCCAAGCCGTGGCTCTGTGTGAGAATATACACACGGAGCAGTGGTGCTTGAGCGCTCTTGCTCGGGTGCCCCCATAGCAAGCTGCTTACTATTGGGGAACCCAACAGGATAGGGGGGCCAGGAGCACCAACAGGGAACCCGAGAAGAGGAGGATCTGGGCTGCTCTGTGCAAAACCACTACACAGAGCAGGTAAGTGTAACATGTTTGTTATATTTTTTTTCTTTAAATTATGCCTTTAGTATCCTTTTAAGAGGTAAGTGGACCCATGGCATGGATCACTTTATGGGTCACTGCCACCTCTATGTATTAAAGTTATATTATATTCAAAGTAAATTATTTTTTTTCTGAGACAAAATTACAGCTCTGCTTGGAAAATATTAACCTTACAGGCTTAGTTCACCTTTACCCACTTTTCCCAAAACTTTCCATACGCAATTTACTTATTACAGGTACCTCTGTAGCACCGACAATTTTTGCAGCGTTTCATACACACAGACACACACATAATATAGTATATTGTACATTCACATCATACCCTGCCCTCAAGGAGCTTACAATCTAAGGTCCACAACTTACATTCCAACATACACATACTAGGGACAATTTAGACAGGAGCCAATTTACCTACCAACATGTCTTTGGCCTGTGGGTGGAAACTTAAGTCCTCAGAGGAAACAGGGAGAACATGCAAAGTACATGTAGGTAGTGTTGTGTTTGGGATTCAAACCAATGATCCCAGTGCTGCCAGATTACCACTACCATTACATCCTACCACTTAACCACTGTGCTGGTTTGGTCAAGGGATTACCTTATCCCTTGCAATACTTTAGCATGCTGTGCTTTGGTTTTTAAACAAATGCTTACTATTTTAGATGCTCATAAAAATTGTCTTCCCTTTTCTACAGATGACAGGATGCACCCAGCATTCGGTGCACAGCCCCAGAAACCGGACTGTGCATGCATGGGTAGGATATAAAGCCAGGTGCTTGCTCCTTCTGGGGCCACGCATCCATCCTGTGTACATCTGCAGGATGGAGAGAGTAGGACAATTATATGAGCATCTGAAAAAGATATATTTATTTACAAAATGGAGCACAGTATGTTAATGTATTGCGGACGTAGTAATATATAGGCATGTTTTGGGGAAAAGTAAATAAAGGTGAAGTAACCCTTTAATTTAGGCCAGTGCTTCCCACACCTGTTCTTCAAAACCTATTCTTGCAAAACCTCCCTTTAAAACTATGCTCTTGTTAAAAATAAAAAGTTTCCCTTGCAGTGCCCTTCCCCCACATATTTTAAGGGTTAAATGCTTGTTTTGGTCTAGAGGTAACATAAACCATTTTACTTCCCCTAGTCCTTGCTTCTGCAGGCTTCTCCCCAGATGCACAGGGGTGGAGGCCAAGCCACGCCCTGTGTGTAAATGGACGCACAGAGCAGTAGCTTGAGAGTGAGCGTGCTCTGGTGCCCCATAGCAAGCTGCTTGCTCTGCACTCGGCAGGAGGGAGGGGCCTGGAGCTCCGGTGGAGGACCCAAGAAGAAGGGGATCCAGGCTTCTCTGTGCAAAACCATTGTATAGAGCAGGTAAGTATGACATGTTAGTTATTTAAAAAAAAAACTAAAAAATCTTTGATGTCATTTTAACAGACCGAAAATAGCAAATAAGAAAATTAGCAGTTGCATAGAGCTAGCAATAATCTGCATTTCAGTGTTTAGGGAGCATGTGCAGGCTTGCCAAATAGCTGGAAGTTTAGGGTTTTTTAGAGGAATTTATCACCAGCGTGCGTTATGACATCATAACCAAGCCCTGGGGCATTATGCACACCGGATCCAGCAGTGTGCTGTTATGCTGTTTGCTACTATATGTTTGTGAATATCCTTTTTGCTTTTAATATACTGGTGATTTTTGGTATCACACTATCCAGTTTATTTTTTTCCTCCTATGTGCCTTGAAATGTCCATGTAATATTTGAATTTTGGCTGAATCTCTTTGAATGTGCTTTAAAGGGCCAGGGGACATCCTTGAGGCATAGCCTCATTGCCTACCAAGCACGCCGGACCTCTGATTTGGGAGGCCATTTGAATCCGGTAAGGAGCTGGTGTGCAGTCGGGTGGTGAAACATAAATTCGACACTTCATTACATGTGGCCATTTATCACAGCTTATTCACATAATATGTGGACTTTTTTATTGCACTATTTATCATGGTTGCACGTTATATAATTTGGTGCATGGTTGCATTGTTCACAACAAAAGTATATGAATTATTTATATATTTAAGGAGATTGTGCATCTCATGTATGTATGAAGTTTGTATATGGTTTTGTCCCATTACTTTTATAGTTGCACTTTGGCATATTTAGATGCCAATTTGGTGTGGTTCATTAATTAGTTTTTTTGTTTCACTTGATATATTTTTAAAAGGATAGCGCAACAAATTTTTTATTTAACCCCTTCATGCCGGCAAATGTGCGGCCTCCCAGTGTCTGGGCCTGGACACCTAGTGGCCGCACATTTGCGTTCAATATACAAAATACATATGTGCTGAGAGAGCACGCCCTGCGCGCTCCCAGCACACATGTGCGGTACTCACGGAAAGGTCCCGGTTCGCTCTTTCGATCGGGACCTTTCCCGATCATGTGACCGGCCGCGACGTCATGGCGGCCACATGACACCAAGCCACTGTCCTATTTCTATTAAAAAATGAAGTCACATCATACAAAGAATTCATAGTTATGGTGACTGCTGCAGATAATATGCTTCCAGAGCTTAAATTTTGGGTGTAATTCAGTTTTCAGTATTGTTTCTCAGCTGTCCATTAACCTACTCAAACCTCCTACAAGATCCCCATTTTCTTTGCGTTTCTGCTGCAGGAGGTGGGTAGTTCTTCCTTTCTCCTCCACCCGCACTGGCAGTAACTTCTATGTAATGTATACATTATTGTAAAGCATTATCCTGGTGCAGATAAAATAATCAAAGCAAGCTTCATGCTTGCTTACATTAAGGAAAAAACTTTCAATGTGGAGAAAACAATATGACCACCCACTTCATTTCATGTTTACATGGTGAGAGGGAAGTAGTAAGTTGGATCCAAAAATTACAATGGGGGCAGTACTGAAAGAGAACAGTATAGGACTGGCATAAGGTTGATGTGAGGTCAGTAAGTGACACTGAAAGAATGGTGTGGTGTAGACAGATAGCAATTGGGTGCACAGAATTGGAGAGGGATGCAAAGAGCTGACATGGGGTCAGGATGGGGCACACAGAGTTGTTGGGGTGTACAGAGAGCTAAAATGGAGGTCAGGTACAGAGAGGTAAGGTGGGGGAACATGATGCGGTACAAAGAGTTTAAAGGGGATTAGGATGAAGCACAGAGGGGTAGGGTGGGGAAACAGCATAGGGCTCTGAGAGCTGGAGGATGGAACACAGTGAGTTGGAAGAGGGAGCAGGATGGGGCACAGAGAGATGGGGTGGGGAGACGGATCGAGCACAGTGAGATGGGGTGGGGAGAAGGATTGGGCACAGAGAGATGGGGTGGGGAGAAGGATCGAGCACAGTGAGATGGGGTGGGGAGAAGGATTGGGCACAGAGAGATGGGGTGGGGAGAAGGGTTGGGCACAAAGAGGTGCTATTTTCTGCTTCTGCAGATATATTTGTTTCTGATTATGTTTGCACAGTAATGATTTTGCCTCTGGCAGGTTCTTTTACCATAGTCTTTAAAGCTGACCTTCATAAATTAAAATAAACTTTTCCTCCTGGCTCCTCCCCCCTCCCTCTCCCACTATTGGAAAATATTTTCTAAAGCTGACCATACATGGATCAAAAATCACCCGGTTCTGCAGGGACTGAACAAATTTCGATCCATGAATGGGCAGGCTGATTATACCCCAGTCGATCCATCAATCAACATGGGTACAACCAGTCTTTAAGATTTTTTTTACATGTGATTACTGCCAGCAGCTAGAGGCCCTAGCAGTAATCATTGTGTTCTGTCGGAGGCTGGGAAAGCTTCCAACCCCCCCCCTTTCTGCCGGCAGCAGAACACAATAGCACTGCGGGCGGCATTTGCCCATCAATACTGACTGTGTTGGTGGGGAAATCGAGCAATTTTATTTTGGGTGAGTTTCCATGGGTTAAAGGAAAGAAAATCGAATTATCTAAATCTCTTAAAGTGGTTGTTAACGCTCAAGGTTTTTTACCTTCATGCATTCTATGCATGAAGGTAAAAAACCTTCTGTGTGCAAATGTGCCCCCACCCCCTCAATACTTACCTGAGCCCCATCGCGATCCAGCGATGTGAATGTCTCAGCTGTTCCGGATCTCTGCCTCCTCATTGGCTGAGACAGCAAGCGGGAGCCATTGGCTCCTGCTGCTGTCAATCACAGACAGCCAATGAGGGGATGGAGGGGGAGGGGACAATCCACGGCTCCATGTGTTAATGGACAAACAGAGCAGCGGGTGCCCCCATAGCAAGCTGCTTGCTGTGGGGGCACCCAACAGGAGGGAGGGGCCTGGAGAGCCTGTGGGGAACCCAAGAAGAGGAGGATCCAAGCTGCTCTGTGCAAAACCACTGCACACAGTAGTTAAGTATAGACATGGTATTTTCCCCCCCCCAAAAAATGAACCTTTAGATTTGCTTTAATTTTTAAAAAAAGTTTATATCCTTTTTAGTGCTACACTGCTGCATTTCCAACTAAGAGAGAATGACATAGGGCCTCCCACTGCCTCTTGGTATATCTACGTCTTACATCCTAGTAGTAGGAGGATCTGCTGATGGGCACATGTGTGCCGCAGATTTTTGGCACCTGTCAGAGTTCTTCAGCACATCTGCACATTCCGGTGGGATTTCCATGCATGTTTGCAGGTATCAATACTAGATACAAGCTTTGTGTGTTCTTGTGTGGGGAAACCCCAGCATGTGTGCAGATGTGCCAAAGGTCTCTTCTAGGTCCCAAAGACCAGGCAGAGACCTTCAAAACAAACACACACACTCAAGGCATTCAAAGATGGCAGCACGGGAAGGGCAGGACCAAAATATCGGGGAACTGAAGTTCTTTAAGTAAATTTGCCTATAATTTTTACATTCAGTAGAGCCAAAAAAGAAAGAGGAAAAACATAAATGATTAACAATAATTGCTGCCAAGCATAGTTTACATGTATGAAGAAGAGTCCTCACTGTTTGAACTGTTCTGTTCTTCATAAGATGGCTAGGGTGCTTGTTGCCAAGTATGTTTGGGTGATGCATCAAAGAATTTAGTTTAGATGTGAATTTGTGATTGAGTCTGGCCAGCATTACAAGTGTTCAACATGGCAAGGGTTGCTCCCCTTGATTATGCTCACATCTGGCCAATATAGCTACATTTGGGCACTTTTGTATAAACAACTGGCTAGCTGACAGCTGGCTTTGTTTAAAGTAAATAGATTTATGTATGAATGTTTCAAACAAATCTGCAGCTTGCATGTCTAGCAGTACTGTGCATCCAAGCCAAGACATGATCATTGCAGACACAGACTCTTCTCTAGCATTCATTCTACAGCATTTTACCACAATGCAGTGTTCACTGATACATTTTAATGACCTCATATTTGCATCTATAATATAGAAGAAAAATCATAAGCCTCGAGGCCAATAACTGTAGTTTCTATGAGTAAATTAGGGGTGTGTCTATAGCCGTTAGTGCTCAAAGCACACTTTTTTTTTTTATTTCTGAGGAACTACTTGACAGTCCAAACATTGTAAGAATGATTATGTACACCTTGTTTGTTTAGTGATGCAAATCTTGGTTCAGTTATTTTTTTATATGAAAAAATGATCCTCTTGAATTATACATGCAGATAATTTGTTTTCTGCTCAATCTTTGTTTATTTGGCATATGATGAATTAAAACATAGCTCGAAGTTTTTGACAAATTTATTAGGCTAGTGAAGTAAGAAGTTTGAAGCTAGTATTTTTTTACATTTTGCTGTCTAAAGTACATGGCGATGCATACTGATGTGTTATTTGATGCTTCTGTTAATTTTGATAGGAAGCAAAAAAATGCATCAAAATGCCAAGGTATAAATGATCCCTTAAATGTCAAATCTGTGCTGATTGGGGACAATGGACAGTCCCGAGGCACCCTTAAAAATTATGGACAGTACCGAGGCCCCCCTAAAGTTTTATGGACAGTCTTGAGAAACCCTATTCTAAAATAGGTGCATACAGTGCAGACCACTCCCACAGGTCACCACACTGATTTGCAAAAAGGCATTCCATAGTTCTCTTTTTAGGCAGCTCTGCTCCTTTGGGGATACACAATCAGCTCTCCATTCTCTCCGTTTTTTACTAGGACTCAGAAGAAAAAAGTGGCCCATGTTGCGTAATCTTGTATAAAAATGAGTTTATTATAACCAAGCAATTAAAAGCACTCAAAAGTAACTTTAAATGTTGCCCATCAATATGTTTTAAGACATCAAGTACACCACATTCCGCACAGCCAGCATAAGTGTTTCTCTCACCACCTCTGCCCATCAACAGTTTTGAATAGAGTGGAGAGGGATTAGAACATCTACCAGGTTTTTATTGCTGTCTGCGCCCCCCGTTAGGGAGATTCTCCCTCTCTGTCCTGTTTACTATTATATTTGAAAGTGAAACCAAAAGAAAATCCCAAATTTTGGGTTGAGCCAACAAAAGAAATAAAGGGGAAATCTTCCAATGGGGACACTAGTTTCGTGACCTGGGGGGCTGGGATTTCCTCTCACTTCCTCTTTTGGCTATGGGACAGGAAGTGAAAGTAAATTTCTTCAATGGGACACATGACAAAAACAACCTGACAGGGATTGTAACCCTCCTATACTCTATCCAAAATGAAAGATAAGTTTCTGCCTACAGTTCTACTTTAAAAATGGCTGTTTTGCTGGTCCTATCCTTTGCAAGTATTTGACTGGTTGCATGGGTCAACTATCTGCTTCCTCCTACCAGCTCATAGTTCTGTAGTGACATATGTGCATGTGCAGAGCAGGATGAATGTATTACTGGGTTTTAAACAGTGTAGGAATTTATTTTTAATGTTTTACCTGCATATATATCTGCAAAATGGGACATCCTGAAGTAATCTAGCAGAACTTAATTTTCTGGCTAAAGCTCCACTTTAGCCCTGGTTCACACCAGTTCGGCTTTGAAATTGCACTACTTCAGCTTGATTTCAAAACCGCAGATTTTGAGACTAAAAGTTCTGGTAGGGATTGTGGGGATCCCATGCTGTTTTTTTTTTCTTTAATAAAAATGTAATTAAAAAAAAAAAAGTCAGTCCTGCAGCAGGTTCTATACATTGTACAGATGTTAAACTTTGCAGGTAGTTTAAGGGGACCCCCAGCCATGATATTTAAAGGAATTTTTCATTTTATTTTATTTTTTACTTTAAGCAGTGAAAAATGACTGCCCTTGGTAATGGTACTTTTTGAATTTTCTTTTTCACTGATTCATGTCCCCAAGGGCAGTACCCAAGTCCAAATACCCCTTTTATGGTTTTATGGCCAATATATTGCATATAAGCCTTCAAAATAGCCACTTTTGAATTTGCATATGTCGGTCACGTTACCACGATACTGAAAATGTCAATTCACTACTGAAGTGTTCAGTATTTACCGAAAATGGCAAAAACGCTCAGTAAATACCACATGAAAAGACCTTAAAGTCAGTTAATTAAAGGAAATAAATAATTAAATGCATGCGGTAATTAAGTAGTGGTCCAGGCATGCAGTATGTACTGGTATCTGTCAGTAACTGTGATGGGTTGTTAAGGAGTCAGTGGCCACAGCGGGGTTCCCTGCTGACAGCTGAATTAAAAAAAAAGAATTGCTGGCAATTTAAAATTTAGCAAAAAACTGCATGGGGTTCCCCCCTTCTTCATCCATACCAAGCCCTTCGGGTCTGGTATGGATTTTGAGGGGAAGCCCCACGTCAGCGTTTTTTAAAAAAATGGTGTGGGGGTCCCCCCCAAAAATCCATGCTAGACCCTAATCCAAGCAACCCCGCTGACAGATGAAACATTAACGCATGTTTTCATTACTAAAATACTGCATGACTTAATAAAATAACTTGGTATTTTAGTAGCGTTTTTTTTTGGAAAAATGCTGTGCGGTATCTTACCGCATACTCGGATGCAGTAAGATACCACTTATGCATGCCATAGATGGGCTGTTTATCGGCCGAATTGTCGGCTGATAAACGAAAAATCGGTCAGTGCCATTGCCGATGCTGCCACCAATGTCCACGAAAAATGGCAGTTTTTCGTGGATTTTCCAGCATGACCGATAAAAATAAATGAGAAGATCTGTGAAAAACGGCCGACTAATGGCGTGAATATCAGCCGATTTTTCATGCGGACGAAAATTTTGGCCGATTAAACGACCCGTCTATGGCCTGCATTAGTGAATTGTCCGCTGGGTTCAAAGTTTGCAGTCGAATTTGCAGGTTCGAATGTTCGACCACGAACCGAACAGGGGGTGTTTGGCCCATCACTAATCTAAAATTCAACCCATTATTTACAATGTGCCTGTACACACAGAAGCGTTAACAAGCCATGCGTATTCTTGAGTAAAAAAAAGAAAAATCTGCATTCATCATCAGTGTTTTGCGCATATGACCATAAATAGTAATGGATTTTGCATAGGATATGCATAAGTGCATAAATACATGCGAATACGTGCAAAACAAACATCTGAAATTACGCCCAGAAAAGCTGATGCTCAAACATCAGTGCCGTGTGCAAGCGGCCTAAGAATACTTATTGTGAAAAATAATTAGGGAGATAATCACAGCAGTTACAGTGGATTTTTTACAATTCTGGGGGTTTTACTTTTGTCTTTACACATTTTCAGAGTTAATTAGTTAATTTAATTTTGTAGTTACCTATTGCAGTTACACTTGTAGCAGGCTCCTTGTACAAGAGGATTCAGAAGGAATCACATGTTCAGCAGTCAGCTTTCCTCTTTCTCCCCTATTTGTAAAATCTGGGCATTCTGCCAAGTTCATGACTCATCCACTACACAGCAAAGAACGCTGGGAGGGGGAGGAAGCAGGAAGTGAAGGGGAGAAGAGAGAGACACGAGGCTGGAGAAAAGACAGGGACACGTGGAGCCCGTCCAAGCAGAGGAGGAGGCACTACAGCACCCAGCGCGGATAGAGGGACCCTGCTGTGTGTTCAGAGTCTGGTGAGCTGTCCCCCTGGAGAGAGTAAGACACACCATTTACACTTTGCATATAGACTGGGACATCCGCACCCCACTGCTGGGATCTCACCCATCCAGGGCCTGTGCAAGCCACAGATCCTCCTGCCTGCTTTGCCCCTCACCACCAGTGTAATTGAGACTGTCTGCCCCGGGGACTGACACATACTGGGAGATTGCATCCTGCGACTGCCCCTGGTCTTGGGGTGCTTTGTGTTGCGTTTAGACACTGAGGTTGGACCCTCTCAGCCCAGAAACCTAGTGAAATTGGATGTAACCCACACCAGCTGAAACTCCAAAGAAGCCTTCAGCTGCTATTTACTTCATTGTAAGGACTAAACGTGCACCAACTAGAGCTCCACCGTTACAAGGACTGAAGTG